CTGGAAGTGTCATTTAAAATAAACTAATATTGTTTAATATCTCATAAATGACTTCAAACCAGTTGGAGTTTTTACTTTCCAGGTTGGACTATGTTGTATACTCTACTGATGTGATATCTGCTCATTAATAACCATCGTAGAGTATCTTATGTCACAGAACTCAGATGCTCATTAATAACCATCGTAGAGTATCTTATGTCACAGAACTCAGATGCTCGTTAATAACCATCGTAGAGTATCTTATGTCACAGAACTCAGATGTACACCTGTACATCACTTCCATGTTCTAAGGGTCTTAGAACAGAGAGATTTCTTGATAATTTTCCATTTTCTACAATCTTTAAAATAGGCACCAGAAAAGGGGTATATATTGGTTGCAGTTCATTCCCCAGGAACTCTGTAAGTGTGAAAATGTGCTTGATTTTTTTTTTTTAAGCCGTAATTAAAGAACAAGAGAAAAAGATGTATGCGAGTGAGGAGGAAGGTTTTTATTGGTTAAACATATTGTACTTCTGAAATTTTTGATGGGGTAGTTAGAAAATTGGTTCCATTTCTTATCTCATGGAATGTCTAACTAAAATTTCCTTGATTCCGTGATTTTGATGAGGTGGTAACAGCAGGTTGGTTTTATATAAACTATACACACACACACACACACACATACACACACAGAGTGATAAAATGTTTTGGAATTACTCACATACATTCTGTGGAGAAAAAGGTTCTGGCTATTTTTATATGAAAAAGATTTCCATATAGTATGTAATTGATAGAATGTTCTTCCTCCCTTATTCAGTTTTTTAAAATATATTTTTACTTTGAAATTCAAAATATTGAATCTTATTTTTATGAAGGACTAACATTTGGAAGGCTCTTAATTATGGTGGATTTTACCCACAGCATGCAAATATATCTTAGCTGTGACACTATCTGTTTTTGTAACCCTGGAATGTTTTTAATTAGATTCTTCATGGAACAATGGATTCAAATTTGCACTCTATAAAATTCAGCAGATTTTATGCTATTAAAATAGAAGATTAGAGGATAGGAAAGATAGAAAATGTACATTTCATTTGCTTCTTTATTTAATCTTCACCTAAATGCTCTAATATATTTCTGCTTTATGTTTTATAATCTGGTTGAAATATGTTTCCGTCTTTTCTATAGGAGTATGAAGACCATTTGAGATGTGTGTTGTCTTGTAGTTTTTAAAATATATCCTAAAGTTCTCATAATGAAAAGTAGGGTCCTAGACATCTGAGTTTAAAGGAAGTAGACATTAGTTTATTGTTTGCCAACTAAAGAGGAGAAAATGGACATTTTGAAACATTTTAAAATTTATTGGTTGACATCTGTCAGTGGTAGAATAATTTCTTGCTTGAGAATCTGTTTGAATGAAGGAGGCAATTATGTTTTGCCTTAATGGACTGCTGGTACAGCACCATAAAAACCAATTAGCTGCTGAGTCAGTGTAAATAACCATATAAGCTCTGTTTCAAATACCTTTTTTTTTTTTTGAACAAAGGTTGGAAGCAAATAGATAAATAAAGAAAAGCAAGCAAATCCATTTTACATGTCATCGTTCAGCTTCCTGTTGCATATGTTGTAAATGAAATGGTTTGCAATGTGAAGGTTAAGTCATGGTACACTGCAAGAATGAATGATACAGGCAACATCACTATATTATGTTGGAATTATTATTTTTGCATGAAAGTTTAACACTATTTCATCATGAATTGTCCTTGTTTTATAATTTTCTGTGCATTCATTTTCTAAAAAGTATATAACCTCACTTATATGTCATTTGTTTGCTTTAGTAGGAATATTTATCAATGGCATGAACTGTAGCTTCGACACATAAATTTAGTTGTTACACTAAAATGTATTTGAGTGCCATTAGGACAATTAGTGATCATTATAAGAATTCTGGATTCGGAGATTATAAAATAATAAATGAATTTTAAAATTTCTAAGGAAGCTCTTCAGTTATATTAGATGATAGAATTAGTTTGGCCACATTTGTGAATTAATGTTATTGATATATAAGTGCTGAATATATCATTTTTAAAAAACTTTTATTGAACAAATTAATCGGAAGTGTAACTGCAAAATTAGACACTTTATCAATAAAACTTCCATGAGGGTATAAACATGTTTGCTTCTGATCACCATTGAATTCCATTCATATAGTATATTCTGTACAGGTAGAGTACAGAGGGTGGATGAATAAATGAATGATTACTGGTTTTGTTTTCACAAACTTGAAATGATATTTATGAAAAGTAATGATATAAACTAGTTTTGCATTACTATTGCATTGAAAGAAATCTACCAGACACTAAGAATTTAAATTTTTTCTCATCATAACTTTATATTATTTTGAGCAAATATTAAACAAAATGAAATTATATTTCATTGCCCTAGATTCGAAGAAAGTCCTCCAGTCAATAGTGTTGTGTCTGTAGCTTGCTTTCACTGTATTTTTCATTGATTACTTTTTAAACTTCTTAAGACCTAAATACAAGAATGGATCACAGCAAGAAAAAAACAAAAACAACCGTGTCTCTAAACCATCAATTTATAACATTCTAATCAATAGTGTAACAATGAAATGATTTAAATGCCCTTTGTTATATTTAGAGCTTTTGAAAAAAAGTACCCTTTCTCAAGACCTAGATAAATAATCCAGATGCCAAATCCATATTTTCTTCATACGATTTATTTCCTGTCTTCTGGGGCAAATCTGCCCCTTAAAAGCCAACAAACCTGGTGGAGGAGAGATATGGTGAAACATGACTAGAATACAGTGAGATAGAGAAGCACAGAGAAAAGAACGCCCTTGGGTATATAGGGAAAGATACACATAACCATACCTGAGAAAATCAAGTCAGGCTTTAGGAGGAAGCCATGCTTCAGTCGTCTTAAAATACCTAAATAATAACGTAAAATTATTACTAACCTAAATGGGCTAATAATAGGGAATGATTAGGGAACTGTGGTCCATTTTGATAATGAGATGTTATAAAGACCTTAAAAATAACATCTTCCAAAATATTTAACGATATTAGGAAAACATGTATGATATGATATTTGGCATGGGTGTACAACTCAGAATTCTCTATACAATAAGACTTTAATTAGATAAAATAAATAGGCATACCGAAAAGAACCCTAAAACTCACAGATCTGAGTGGCGCATTATGAGCAGTTTGAATTTTCGTCCTCACATATTTTGTAAATAAACTTGAATTTATCTTGAATGTGAACAAAATAATTTCTGCTTTTGGAGGAAGAGAATCATAACTAGTGTTGCCAATTATAGACAAAGGATTTTGCCATTTGTGTGAGAGAGGAAGGGGTGGTAACTTGAGGAATAACTGGATTTACAGGATTAGAAAGCAAATTTGGAAATTGAGAAAAAAGAAGAGAACAGAGGCATATAGTGCCTTATCCATGCAAGAAGTAACGTTATGTCAAATGCTGCAATGAGTTCAAGAGCAATATTTTCTGAGGAAACTCATTGCATATAGAGATAAGGAGGTCAGGGTGAACCCTGAGCCTATTGAAGAAAGCCAGGAACTGTGATAAGGACTTTGGAATTGGATAAGACCAGAATTTAGGCATTTCTGCTTAGCCTTCTGGGGATATTTATTTGTTTGGATTTGATGTTCATTAAGTGTTGGTAATACCTACGTGTTCAAGTATTACTAACATTGAGTAAAAATGAACCAATGTATATGACACAGTATAGTCAATATACATATATATGTAGTTATTGTATTTATACATAAATATATAAATATGCCAATATAACTATTTATACCTGTCTATATATTTGTATATATATATTTTTAATCCAGGCAGAAAAGTGAAGCTCCTGTCAAGTATTTTAACAGAGGAATCTAATATGAGGAATGAATTCAGCAGTTGTGAATGTGACACAGACAATAGAAAGGTGCTTCTCCCTCCAGGGCTACAAAAATCTAAGAAGAAAAGGAGGTGGCCCCAGCAGGAGCTAAAATTAGGAAGGAGATCTGGGGACCACTGCTGGGGACATCCCCTGAGGCAGAGGAGGGGAGGATATCCTGGCTTCTGGGTTCATCCTCCCTTCAGTCTCCACTAGTGCCTCATTGGCCAAATTCCACCAAAGCCAAAGTGAGCCTGGGATATATGGTTCCCAAGAGTCAGTCTCTAGGGTACAAAGAGAAGAGGGGAAGGGGATGGGAAATGTTTATTATGATGTTCACATGGATAGAAATGAAGCTGAGAGGCAAAATTTTTTGATGGATAAAATATTTACAAAAACACTTAATGAAAGCTATTTCTTTGTGTCTTTCATAACTAAGTGGGGAAAATTTTGTCTTTTTCGATAACAGAACCACAGAGTGCATGATAAAAACACTTGTGTTTGAATGCACTTTGCTACAGTGGTTTTCACACAATATATACAGAGTCCAGTCTTACTGAAAATACCTATGATACTTAATGGATTAGGAAGCTGCAAAATTATTTTTCTGAGTATAACAGTTTTTTCAACCCATAATATGCTTTCTGTAGAGGAAATAAAAGGTTTATAAAATTTAATATTCCAGCAGTAATTTTCTTTGTGAAAGAGTTACAATTATCTCTAAAACATCTTGTATATCTATTCAGTGTTACTACATATTTCTCTTTCTGATACAGAGGTTATTAAAATGTACTCTGAAGTTAGTTTCTTACAGGTGCTTTCTGTTTTCTACAAAGTCCAGACTTAAATACTAATATTCCTGTAATGCCTAAAAATCAGGAGATTTTTATTCATTGTATAATTGCCTTATTTTTATTCCCAATCTTGCTCCACATTTAGGGCACAGCGTTATTAATTTTAGTAGTCATTTTTGAGAAAAAAAGAATCACTCATGAAGAACATCAACTTTGCTTCTTGACATGAATCCTGGGCTTGAATTAAACATCCCTGAGAACTCACGTTTCTGTTTAAAAATTGAATTTTTTCATTGCAGACGTTTGGAACAGAACTCAATCAAGGTCATCCCTCCTGGAGCTTTCTCACCATATAAAAAGCTTAGAAGAATGTGAGTGAATAATATTCTGGGATATATGTAATTTTAAAAATTATACAGGTCATGACCATGCAGACATTCACTTATGTATGAATATTTGAGTGTTTGACAACTTAAATATTAAATGATGTGACTTCGGATTGCTGGCTGTATAATACTATAATGTTAAAAGCTAAACTATGTAATATTTTAAAGTTCTCTGAAATTTAACATACTGATTCACACCCATGTGAATGTATGTGTGATCAATATAGTATGCAGTCAAATCTTAGATGTTCTATTTTCAAAAATAGGACATGGCATCTCTTATAATAATTTCAGAAAAGAGCCAATAGTTGATTTAAAAGTCTGATTTTTTTAAATTGAAGATGCTTCAGATGTTTTATGTTGCAAATTTTATACATGTATTGATAGGTGCAAAATTGACACGTAAAGGCAGTAAATAGCTTTCTCTTGCTGTAAATCCTCCCTGACATTCTATTTAATTTATTCTAACCCCATTTCTAATCTTAGTGACCTGAGCAATAATCAGATCTCTGAACTAGCACCAGATGCTTTCCAAGGACTACGCTCTCTGAATTCACTGTAAGTATTGACCACATCGCTGAAAGAAAGCAGAATACACAACTAATAATGGTTCCATTTTTTAAAAAATCTGAATTTAAGAAAAATAATCCTTTAATTTGTCCTATGAATTATTAATAATATTAATTATTATCAATCATATTGAATTTCATCATTGTTATGGAGGACTGCTACCTGTCACTAAAATCAGCCTTCAATGAAATCAGCCCATTTTTAAATGTATATATTTTAGTATATATAGTTTTGCTATTTAGAGAGCAAGAGTAAGAGCCTCTTTATTATTCTATATTGATATTATTGACAGTTTTTCTGTTTCTGAACTAAAGAGGAAATGTTTATTTTGGAACACTTTGGTCATTGTATTTATAATCCTTAAGCCAGTAGCCACTCTCTGGGGACAATATCAGTCCCCTTTGGAATGATGTTAGGTGGTCTTACAAAAACAGTTGAAGATGCCCGGTGAGAGGCCCCCTTGACTCCCTGCTTCATCTCCTTAAGACTTCCCTGAAAGAACCAGCTTTACTCTCTCAAAGAACAAAGATAACAAAGTATGACAGCTTTTTAATGTCCAAACGATTTTCAGGCAGATAACTACATAAAGTGATTGTAAAAAAAAAAAATGGATAAATGCTGTTATTCTTTCAAATTTGTAAAAAAATCTTCAGAAGGCCACCAAGTAAGGTAAACTGTATTTCATAGTTTAACTTTAAAGTTTGACCATGGAGGATGGCATGTATTTTTCTAAGAGTATGCACTTAGAGAAGGGTTCTTATAATTATAAATGATGGCAGGGCTCTTGATAATTTCAGAAGTCAGTGGTGCCCAGTGGGAGTTCCAAGATACACATGCGGGAGGCCCAGATAAACACCAGGGTCTTATGTAACGCTTCACACTCACTCATACGTAGGGAGAATTCATCTGGGCACATGGCTATTTCAGGTTGCTGTGCTGGTCTGCTCAGAAAACTACAGTTTTCTTTGAAGAAAGAAATTGAAAAACTATCACTTCACCTTTCACCTGCAGTATCTACTTAGGTTCACTTTTGTTTGTTGATGTTGCTTTTTTTTTTTTTTTTTGAGAGAGGGAATGGGGGC